CGTGTGTGCATGCGTCAATTCTTTTGTATCGCTGCTCTGCAGGCATCCCAGTTCGCCAAAGGACATCTTGCCGGTGCTCTGAACGTTCCTAAAGGTGGTTGTGGAGGCACAGTGGTATTGGCGCATGAAGGCAACTTTGCTATTTGGGTAAGCGTGTCCATGCCAGGCTGAACTAATTCACTTGCCGTGTACAAGCAGCTGTGCAAGCCACAACATTTGAAATAGGGCTGGAAAGTGATGATGGCAGAAGTCAAACAAATAATGGCTTCTCGGTCAAAGGTAGTCGTCCACTGGCTACGGGGTGCCATTGACTAGTTGTGAGTGCGATAAAGAGAAACATCTCCGTAAGCATACAGAGTTGATGGATCGTGCATGCCATCATCCATAATGGATGGATTATCCATATGCATACAGAGTTGATGGATCATGATCTTCGTCCAATGGACTGTGTACGGCTTCACAACGTGTGAATGGTTGTTCTGTGCAGTGGTTTAGCCAGGAGAAAACCTTGAAAGAGCTGCAGCACCTTGCATCTTGTTGGTCCCCATAGCAGTATGTGATAGTTATAATGTGCATGGATTCCCATCCCGCGTCGTACCAATTTTCCGAACAAAGCCGTCGCGTTGTGGCTGTGGCCATTCCGTGTTGCCAGGCTGAAATGAATGAGATCAACGTGACCAATATGGTCCGTGTGTTTGCACACCGCTGAAGTAATATTTGTTTTTTTGTGCGGCTTGTGTTTGTTCGTGTGTGTGCGTGTGCGTGCGTGTGTGTATTCTACCAGGTTGGTACCCTCATCTCCAAGGACTGTAAGATCTTTGTAATCGCACCGACAGGACAGGAGTACGAGTCTCTGGAGCGGCTCGCCAGAATCGGCTATACCGTACGTTGGTTTGAGATGTAACCATGGTAACCTCGGTTGGGAAAGCGTACATGACTTGTAATCTCTAATCTGTTTTTAGGAGAGTCCAGTCTAAAATCTTCTTTCTACTCTGAGTAATGGGCGTTGAGAGGTGAATTTCTGTGAAAGCAGAGTGCAGTGCTGCCAGCCCTCCGTATTTTTCCGTATTTGTACGGAATAACATTCCTTCGTCCACATCATTATCCTGCAGTATACTCAGCCAGTCCAGCAGCAGCTGGTGCTGCCGCTGGTGCTGGTGATATCTGTAATGAATGCGTTTGAAGCATGCAACAAAAATCTTGGAAGTGGATTATGCAGATCAGCCGGATTGCTGGAATGCAAGTATCTTTACCGTTTGCGTGCGTCTGTGTCCGTGCCGGCAGTGAGCAAATGGGTGAGTGTACCTCTGTATGGGTGTGCAGGCCTATGCTCATGCTTGTTTGTGTCTGTGTGTGTGTCTGTATGTCTGTTTGTGTGTACTTATGCGTGTTGTGTTGTTTTTTCGTATGTGTGCATTTCCCAGGCTCATGCTGTTATCACGGGTGAGCTGCAGCAATGGCAAGATGACGGTGTTGATCTTGTATGCCAACAGCAGCTCTATCCGGTAAGCCAATTTCACCCTACAGTCCACTCGTAAAAAGATGAGCGCTGACTCTGGCAAGCTCCCGTATTTAGCGGTTTTTCGTGATTTTATCATACACAGTGCAGTGCCGCGAATTTTGAACTTTGAAATAAAGGTACCGCAGCTGGTGTTCGAACCGCACAATGAAGTGATGCAAGTGGAGTGAAACGGCCTGGTTGTTCATGGCTTTTCCCAATTCAGTGCTTAACCCTTTTGAGTCCGCCCATAAATGTATACGCGGAATCTTGGCGAGTTTAACCCTTTAAGAGCCACAGGAAAATTTCAAAATTCTGCATTTTTTCGTGTTCCTTGGATCATAGCTTCAGTTCTACTCACTCAATCCTCACAATCTAGGGCTTCCTGGAAAGGTCTCCGCGAGAGGAAGAGAATGAGGTCGATCATGATAGCCAGCACGCCGTCTATCCAGCGCTAGATCGCAGCGACAGTACAAAATATGTACCAAAGGCATGCAATTGCGTCCCGCTCCAGATATTTCATTTTACTCGATCGTGGAGTTCCAATTTTTTCGCTGTGTACTCTTGGCAATATCAACAGTGAAACCCGTGCAAATTCGAGTAAACCAGCGTGACGAACAGTCTCAAAATTCTCAATACTAAAGTCGCACTGCGCGCTTTTGAAATGGCCGCGATCGCGGCTCAACTTACGAGTGATTTATCTCAGGAACCGTTGCTTGCAGCGCTTCGCGGATTGTTTCTCCCGACAGGTGAGAGTTTTCTCTTCGTCCTGGATATTTCGATCACTGGATTTGAGCGAGATTGCACTGAGTTACGATCTTTTGAAGTTTTGCATTTGAATGCGTCGTTTACGACGCATTTAAGTATGGGGCGGCTCTTAAAGGGTTAAATGGCCATAACTTTTTTTATCTTTAGACTTTTTAAATACCCAAGGGGGTTATTCTCAAAGGAAAAAGCTTACTGAGTCTGTTTATGCAAGAAAAAATGAGAAAATGAACAAATTGTTGACCAAGTCAGCACACCAAAAATATGGTTTCCGAAACATCGAGCATCTTATCAGAGATTCTCATACAGCAGCACAGCGATCAAGTATCTGTTCTCAATTTGGCTAAATGTCAAACTATTGACCTCCAGGGACAATCAGGGGGAATGATGGATCATTCCAGGAGCTTCACATTCCGCGTCGCACGTGGTATTTCTCGAAACAGTTATCCGGTGTGTTCACATGCAAATAGCGACCGCAGGTGATGCATTTTACTTGGCATTTCCTCTCGCCCTTCTTTTGCCGGTAGCAGTAGTGGCAGTTTCTCCTCGTGCCAGGCGTGGAGGGTGGTAGATGGGATCCAGATGGAAGAGGCTGTGCCGCTTTTGCCATTGCAGAAAGACGCTTCGGTGGATTAGGGCGGTGCTGTGGCACGCGGTCATCCGTCGCTACGTTTCCAAGCTGCCGCATAAGATAGACTCGGAACTCCTCGTGATCATAGCTCAATTTCTGGATGTTGAGAGCGGTAAGTGCTGAATAGTAACATGCTGTTGACTGTTGCAATTTCAATAAAATCGAAGACGATTGACTTCCAGTACTTGCGGCTCCTTCCCTGGACACGGTACGGCTCACAGCGTTGGTCAAACTCGTCGACGCCTCCCATTCCATGGTTGTAATCTGCCACCACTTTGGGGCATTTGACTTGCAACACAACATGCTGGCCGTTTACCTTGGTGTTCTTGTCTTTCATGGCCAAGTCATTGGCCTTGTGGTACGTCGATAGCTTGGTGACGGTTCTTTTGTCTTTCCACTGCACGAACAACTGCTTGCCGGCGCGTATCGCATGGACCCATGGGCACTCTTATCGAACACTTTCACTTGCTTCAATGGCCGTGGAACCCGCTGACGGTTCACTCTCAGAGTGCCAACAAGATGAGTACCACGCTCTAGAAGTGTGTCTGCAAGATTCGGTGCCGTGTAGAAGTTATCAGTGAAAACGGCGTGTCCGGCATTCTGGTAGGGCTCGGTCAGATTGGCAACTGCAGGGTGAGTAAGTCCGGTCTCGGTTTGGCCAGGGATCGCGCCAGCATATTATGTTGAAGTTGATCAAGTAGGAAGTATGGACATCACATACGGCAAACACTTTTACTCCCCACTTGATTGGCTTTTTGGGCATGTACTGGTGTAAGTGGCTGCGGCCTTTCATTCTGATCATGCGTTCGTCGACACTGATGAACTGCCCCGGTTAGTACAAAGCAGCACATCTCTCCTTCGTATGGTCGTTCAGCCAATGCAACTTCTTTTGTTTTGTCTTCATTATCCTCCTGACTAATTGGAGTTACGTGTAGAAAGCACACCAGGGCCTTGAACCGCAACCGTGATGATATGAATCGCCGAGCCCATGTTCTGTGAAACATTGATGTGGTGCGCCCGTAGTCTGAAAGCTTTGGTAGCCGTTTCAGACTCATACAGCAGTAAACCAATCAAACGCTCAATCTCCTCACCATCACACTCCTTCCAAGCTCCGAAATGATCTCTGTAGGATGGCTTCTCGGCGGCAATGCGCAGCCATGCATATTCATTCGTCGCATCCGCAATTTTCTGGCACTCCACCTTCCCAAAGAAGTACCCGAAAACATCAAGTTGCATTGGGGGCTCACCAGGAGGTAAATGAACGCCAACAGCTCGTGGTGGAGTGAACGGTGGTGCGTTGCCATTATTGTCGCACTCAGAATTGTCATCACTCCAAGTATGCACGGAGACGTCAGGCGCATCAGCTGACTCATTTCCAGGTTGCGCAGCATGCGCCGCACGACGTCCGCAAACTCTAGCACGACCTGTACCTTGTCTTCCTGTTCCACCGCGAGCACCTTCTGTAGCTGCAGTTGGTATTTGTTCCAGCTCATCACTATCCGACTCAGATTAACTTGGAGCTACAGCTGCTGCCGCTGCTGGCGAACTTTAAAGTTCAAAATCGTCAGCGTCGGCGTCGTCAACACTCGCAGCGGCAATTAGGATCTCGGCTGCAACATCCGTCCCTGAATCGTCTTCTTCACTTTCCGTATAGCCTTCACTAGAGTCATTGCAGATGTCGGAGAGATCGTCGTCTCCTAGGGTGTCGAGATAAGCGAGGGCTTCTTGCGCTTCCATGTTCCAGATCGACAGCGCCGTCAAAATCTCAAAAAATTCCGCTGCACGCGGCGCAGATCGCGCATGCATTACGGGGGCGATTTTCTCGATAATTTTGTATGTACGTCGTGCCACTCGCGACAGGAGATCAAAGCATGGGTGGGTATCTATGAGTCATCTCTGAAAAGATCGCGAAGATCCAGTGATGTTTGACCACTCGACCAGAGTTTGACTGGTGCGCGCACTCCATCGACCACTGGTGGTCGATTTTTGTATGTACGGACTCTAAAGGGTTAAACGGCTAAACCTGGTCCAAATGCTATTCTTGTTGTGGATTGCTTTTTGGAGAAATAGACTTCAGAAACATAATTATTGGAAGATCATTCCATGGGGGATCTCAGAACAGAATTGTGAAAATACTCAAAATTGACCCATATCTGGCCGAAAGCTAGGATATCATTTTTTCCGAATGGACTGTGGCTGGATTCAATTATTGTTTTTGTTTTGGCCAAGCTGTAGTATCTCTATCCAGTACTACAACGGCATAACTAAACTTTTTCGTTCCGTGGATATTATTGATGATGCCGGATGTCAATTATGTGTTCGCAGCAAAGGCAATTTACCATAGGGAAGGATTAGACTACAACAATCTTTACTGTAAAACATGTTATTTTCGGTGTTACTCTAATTCCGGTGATTTCTTTAGAGAAAACCGGCACCTAAATGTATATTACACCTAAAAGGCGGTAGGGCATGCACCGTATGTGAAGGGAACGCTGGTCACCGAATTCCACTCGTTACACCTGAAACCTGGCAAATCCCTGGCACCGATTTTTTTTTAAATGCACCTAAAATTACATGTTTCACGGTATTTTACGCATGCATTTTCCTGTTTTCTTCTCCAGTGTTGTACTGCATTTGAATCCATTGTGTTAGTTTTTGCCCGCAAAAGAGTCTTGTCCACTGGGGAATTTTTTTTAGAATACAACACGTGACTATGGGAGAGCACACATGCACGGAAAGAATGAGAAGTGTCGTTTTGCTGATGGTGTGCTGTGGCAACGTGTTGAGGTCGGCCGGAGAGCGCAGCGGTGTGCTGTGGTGGTTGATAAGAATCTGGACAAGGCCGAATGCTGCTACTTACCCATCTTGATCAAAAGAATGAGTCTTCAAAAAACTCAAATAACTTTTACAGTCAATTGTAACATTCTTGATGGTAGTGTGCTCTGTGTTTGCTTGCCTTGTACACTGCAGAGAGACGAGGAGAGTATCGGTAGCCTGGTGGCTGAGTCCTCTGTGATTGTGGATGTGAGAACGCCCGGCGAGTATTCCTCCAATCGTATGCAGACTGCGGTGAACTGGCCCCTAGCGCAGATCGCTGAGCATGTCGAGGCGGCCGATAGGTGAGTGAAGATGTATTGTGCAATGATTTGATTGATTTATTGATTTTATTTCACGGATCCTCCAGAGGCAAATAGATGCCGATCGAAGGGAGTCTCCTAAGTATGGAAAATGAGAAATTACACTGCTGGCAACTGAAATCCGACCCCCTGAGCGGTGCGCTCACATCGCAAAGAATGTGGACCCACCGCTCAGGGGGTCGGATTTCAGTTGCGAGCACTGTATGTGCGTAGGGGAGAAGAGGTAGAAGATACCTTAGAATATAGAGTACAAAAGAATGCAAGCTAGGTGGGGCAGGACATGCGATAGAGTGATGTCACGTCTTGGTCATGTGACTAGATTTGTGCAGAAAGTGATCACGTCATGTGGACAGTGGAAACAACATGGCCACCGACATCACGTGACCCATAGATGCAGGGGTTGAGTGGAGTCGGAACCAATATGGCTATTCCGTATGGTCATGTGACAGATATGAAAGCACTCTATGCACTCTGGACTGGAACAGCAATATGCCCAGTGACACCAGTCGCATGACTGCAATGTACACATGACTCGTGTATCTTATTATTCTATCATCAAGGGGGGATACAGCTGTATACGGCTCAGTTCACTAGACTAGCGTAGGTTGGCTTCAGGTGATGACTGAGAGCTTTGCCTTGGCATGGTGCTGATGGCCTGGTGCTGATGGCCTGGTGCTGATGGCCTGGTGCTGATGGCCTGGTGCTGACGGCCTTGTGCTGATGGCATGGTGCTGATGGCATGGTGCTGATGGCATGGTGCTGATGGCATGGTGCTGATGGCCCGGTGCTGATGGCATGGTGCTGATGGCATGGTGCTGATGGCCCGGTGCTGATGGCCCGGTGCTGATGGCATGGTGCTGATGGCATAGTTCGCAGGTCTAGGGCTGCGCAAAGCCCGGCACATGCTTGAGTGATGCGACTCGATTTCAAGGAGCAGAACTGTAGCAGGCTGTGTGTTGCGGTTATCCCTGTTCGCCTAGCAGCCAACGGGTCTTTGTTTGGTCCTCCTTGACCTTGTGTATGATTTCTCTGACAACTTTCTTGACAAAGGGCTGCCACTAGCTGGTGCACACCCGTGCGAAGCATGTGCTTCAAGAATTGATGCAGTTTGATTCTAGCGTGATGTAGTATTGTATCATATCATGTCCTGTTCGCGACATGTCCCCGGCTGCATGACTGGGCAGAAATTTTGTGTGCCCGTGTGTGTGTGTGTGTGTGTGTACGTGTGCGTGCGTGCGTATGTGTTTGTGTGGCGTGTGTGTATGTGTGTATGTGTGTGTGTGTGTGCGTGTGTGTGTGTGCGTATGTGTGCGCATGTGTGCGTATGTGTGTATGTGTGTGTGCATATGTGTGTATATGCGTGCATGTGTGTATATGTGTGTGTCGGTGATCGTGTCAGGTCCAAGACGTACTATTGCTACTGTGTCAGCGGCTTCCGTTCCGCCATCGGTGCGTCCTGGCTGAGCAGAGCTGGCTTGAGCTCCGTCAACATGCTGGGTGGCTTTGCTACACTCGGAGTAAACTTCACACACCTGACCGCTACCGGCAAGGTAATAACTGTCCCCACTCAACAGGAATGTGTTCTATTCAAGTAGCACAAGTTGTATGTTCTGTCCATGGCTTTCGGGTTGAGGTGTCATTGTATTCGGCCATTCACAGCATGCTGCACTAATGCAGCGGAATGTTAGCTGTCAATGTCCTGATGGATTCAGGTACTCGTACTGTACCTGTCAGGGTGTGTTGATTGGCGTATCATGTCAAGCAGTCTCTTCTTTCTCTGACTCTCTCTCTCTCACACACACACACACACACACACATACACACACACACACACACACACACACACACACACACACACACACACACACACACACACACACACACACTCTCTCTCTCTCTCTCTCTCTCTCTCTCTCTCATTCCCTCTGCAACTCGCTCTCTTTCCATCTATGTCTATCTATCTACCTGCCAAGCTCCCTACCCAGCTATCTAAATGTCTATCTAATCCCTCCGGAAAGAAAAAAAAATGGAGACTAATCCCCTTTTTTGTGTTACTGTGATCAAGGAATTGGGTTCGTAGGAACAAAAACAGTTCAATAAGACCAAGTAAAAAAAAAGATTGTTGATCGTCAGAATTTTCCGAAAAATCGGGGCGGACGGGAGGGTTTTATTTTTATTTTCGAACTTTTTTTATATCTGCATCGACCGGACATCTTGAAATCTTAGCATATATTACATCTATGGGGTTCATGGGTGTACTACCATTGTTGGTTGTGACTGCTACCAGTCTGCCTGGGCACACTCCAAACACTTTCCTGCTGTCATGCGGCAGGCACGCACACACACACACACGCACACACACACACAAACAAACATACTGCGCAGTTTCCATGAATGCAGGTTTAGATATCAGGTGCTACCTATCTATCATCTGTTTATGTAAATCAGAGAGGTTCCAGGCTATCCAAGAGAGTGCTCAATACCAAGAGGCAGAGCTAGTTCAAACCATAAGAGGACGGAAAAAGTGCTTTAGCTCTGAGTTTCACGCACTAAACGATCATCTGTCTATGTATCGTTGAGATCGTTTCAACCTGCCACTCTGTGCTACTCCTAATCAGGTCGATACGGCTAATTGTGCAGGTAGCTACTGACTCTCTCTCTCTCTCTCTCTCTCTCTCTCTCTCTCTCTCTCTCTCTCTCTCTCTCTCTCTCTCTCTCTCTCTCTCTACCTGTGTTACATCCTGTTCAGGTATGCCCCGTGATGCGTAAGACGGCCGACGCTGTAGCCAAGCTGTATGAATAGCAGACTGTCAAGCACTCAAGCAAGGATACATTCCTGGGTATGCGCTTCTACGATGTAGAACTCAGTGGCCGCTGCCAACCTCTTCTTTGAGATCGTTTAACACGGTGTTCTCAATTTTGGACAGCGAATGTTCAACCTCCTGTATACGTTTGTCTTGTATACCTACTGGAAAGCAGCGTTCCCTTCGTCATCAACACTTTCTTCCCATGTGATTCCGTAGTTGAAATCTTTAGGACCTTTTTTTATACTACATCCAGCCACTGTTGATCAGTCATATTTAGAATATTTGAAATTGATCTCTCTCTCTTTTTTTTAATTCCCTTCCTGACTCACTCAAACCCGCATGTACCGAAAAACATGTACCGACTTTGTAGTGGCCTTTTTTAGAATGCCAATAATTTTTATTTGCGGCACGAGTGTTTTGCCGTAGCCGTTTTAGTTTGCATGTACCGCACTCCATTATTCACGCCGGTGTCTGGGGATATGGGGATTTTGTAGAAAAACATGTTTTGTTCGTTGCGCCATCGTAGTGTGACACAATACAGGCGTGCATATGTGAATCAGGGCTGCCGGAACCGGTCCGGTTGGTCTGGTTATCACGGGACCAATACTTTAGCAGCCACAAGTGTTACTGCGATGGAGGTCATGCATGCGTACCCGCCAAATCATACACAAAGCATGAAAGGCACTGAAACTACCGGACTAATCAAGAACTGCTTCCGCGGCTGTCCTGTGAATGCAACAGGAGCTGTTCGCCTCATTTTGTCGAGTAGCATACTGTGACCAGTGGGGATTTCGGCACCTGTGCTAGTGGTTGTGAGATGTATCCGCTCATCGCTACCGTTGACCGTGAGTTCCCTAGGGAACTGAGATGATCATTTTCTGAGCTCTGCGGTCGCAGCGGACAAGATTTGCAAGGGAGATCACTGTGAAGTGTGAACTGGCTATGTCATTCGAGAACAATCTGCGCTGTGACAAAGGTGACAGGCTGAGAGTAGTGTTACACGGAGTGGCCCGGGCAATAACCTGGGGTTCATATGACTGTGTACCATGGTGTACCCGCAGACAACCAAGCAGTATGTTTGACGACCCTTTTGTCCGGATATGTGTTCCTGGATCGTGTTGGTCATCACAGACGCGGAAGAAGTATACAGTGTATTTGCGTGACACTTTCGTAGATGACTTACAGTAGTGGAAAACATGGCGTTCGGGAGCGCAAAAACATGCCGTTCTAGACTGGAGAATGAAAACATGACGCTACGGTTTCTCTCATCTGTCTCTTCAGGGACAGTTGCCCATAACCTGTTTCCATGTGCCCCTTTTCATTTTTGCATTTTGGTCGGCTTATACATGTACATGTAATCCCATTTTCTTTCTTCCATTGAGAGCGGAGATGGTGTGCAATGAAAGGAACGACCACAGGTGACAGAGACCATCAACGATTTTCTACAATATTATCGTTATTCGCACCATAGGCCAGTGTCTGGTTGCCATCAGGGAGTAGAAAATACCGTTAATAGATGATGCCCAAGTAGCTAAACTCCAGTTTTACCAACCATTCGCCGGCTGAAGATGGCGAAATGCTGTCACGTGACACACATACATACAAACATACATACAGTCATACATGTAGTTGGCGGGATGGACTAAATTTCTCTCAAATAGTGCAAGTAGCACATCGGCTGCCTAAAATAAAGGATATGACAGTGATGCTGAATCCTCCGACAGATAATACATTAAAAAATTTAAAAAGTAATTCTTGCGACCTAAGTCCTTGTAGACCTCATTAGATGCAGATCTCCCTCGCCGTACTCCGACTGTCTTTGTATTGCGGCGCGCTAAGTTATACTCCCTCGAATCTCGTCTCAATTTTAGGCTTTTTGTTTTTGTTTTCCGCTGTATTCATAAGCTTACAAGTCCTCTTCTTTCCTCAATGTTCACCCTCCAGTCGGCTGCTACTTGCACCGAGAGGCGCACTAGAGGGCAATCATTCTCTTCACTTTCCTTGCCCGCTGCTACCACTAGATATGGCATGTTCTCTATTTCTTTCCTTGGCGCTGATAGGTGGAATTCTCTGCCTGTCTCGTGTCGCCACGTTGAGCATCTATCCGTTTTTGTTTCGCTCTGTAAAGAGCACCTAGGGTTCCCTGTAACAAGACGGCAACGTCTGTAGGGCCTTCCCTATCAAAATAATAAATTCTACTACTACTACTACAGTATTGCCTGTTCCTATGGTGAAGTAAAATGAACTTTAATCTAAACACACGAGCAAACAGATAGCGGCGCTCAGGGTGACTGGCCGAACTGATCGCGACAAAGTCTTGCGAGCAGCTAAGCAATCAGACACTAGTGTCCGTTCCGACCTACATAAACAGTCCTTGGTCGGTCTCACCAGCAGAGGACTGAGTTACTGGTCGACCCGACGGCAATGAATTCTAGCTGTGAACTTCAAACCATTCCTCAAATCATTAAACTCAATGCGTGAACGCCAGAGATACTGTGCACCCCAAACACAGCGAGCTTTGCACGACTGCAGACACGAAGCTTTGACGCCAAGTAGAAAAAGCATTCAATCGGATGTTTAGTCGCTGTTTTCCGTCAAGAAATAGACAATCCCCTCCGGCCACGACAACGTTAGTGATTGACAAGCTCCTACAGGTCGTGTTGTCATTACTCGCCTTACAGGGAATCCCCTTTGAGCGTTCCTGTTCGGTTTGAGTTACTCAGTAGTACCATCCCTCGGCTCGGCTTGGGTGAGCACTCCTGGTTAGCGTCGGAATTAACTGCCCTTGTGCAAAGCTCACTGTGGTCCCCGCACTTACATGTAGAGCAGTCTGAACTTGCTGCTTTGAGCCTGTGTAAACTGCTGCGTTGTTCACTGGCGACGTTCTTGGGATTGGTTCAGTGGCAGGCAGTCACTCTGTCTGAGTTCCGTTGATGGGACACAGCAGAGTCGAACTGAACTGGCTAGATGTCCTGAGGTTGATTTTTACGTTCCCTCCACTTGGCCTGACTGAGTGTTCTTGCTGGTTAGTGTCAGAGTCATCTACATGTACCTTCGTGCGAGACCAAACCCGTTATTGGTAGTATAGCTGTCTGGAGATTGGGGGTACATCTTTGTCCAGCAGGTGGGTCATTACTCATGGGCCCAGATTCTATGACTCATCCGATCGAGACTGATGTGCACTCGTGTGGCAGTGTGCTGGTAATTGACACGGAGAGACAATGACCCTTGCACGTCTGAACCTGAACACCATCTACATATACAGGGGATCTTTATAATACTTTTATCCACAATGCACAGTCAAAAATATCTTTGATCTCTCTAGTGTCCAGTACAGGCAGCGTGTTGTTTCACACCACCTACTGTCATGTACTGGGTCGTGACATGTCCAAAGCAGTTGCAAGAGGAGCACTATCACGAACACCTGGATTTCTAGACTAGACCCATTATGATCTAGGGCGTAGAGACACGTCCACGCAGCTGCGAGAAGAGCATTGCGGACAACCTGGAAGGCTAGATATCCTAAACCTCTTGTAGACTACAGAAGTGTACGGAGCACGCGAGGACACGGCGCCCAGCTAGAGAGTGGCACGTCTTCGCCGTGTTTCGGACCAGGCACTCACGCAGTTTACGCCTTGGTAACATGACAGCATTGCACAGAGAGGCTATGTACATACGCGCATATGCCACGATCGCCTGTCTCACATGACGGGTGGACGATCCTGCGCTAGACAGGTCACGGGACATTTCCTTTGTCAAACAGGCGTCACGTCCGTGTCACTGGGATTCGTCAACGGATATCGCCGTGTTCGGAGTGCTGCCTAAGATTGTGGGTGACGTGCGCAACGACAACCTCTGGAAAGCTATTATAACCTGTTGCTGTACGGAGGGACGTGTGCCGTGTGGCAGATCGCCACTGGCACACTTCGTTTTTGGTTCCATACAGTCAAGGAACGTCTGCTCTCTATGCTGCACTGACGAGCCAGAACAGGACGACACAGTTGCTGTCCGCAGGCACAAGCATGTGTGGAATTGCAGATGGTGGAGCGCGCATCTGCAATGGTCACTGATGCCTCGATTCTCGTGTGCCTGTAGGCAGCTAGGCGTCCTGTTCGGATAGGGTGACGCGAGGAGACAGAGCCATTCATTCCAACGCCCGTCCCCCATGCGAATGTGCTCGCTAGATCAGATGTCTCTGGTCCTGGGATCTCGAATAAGCGGAATGCTGGCACCTTGGGCACTGTCAATTTGAACTGGATTCAGCAATCAGGGTCAATTTGAACTTGATTCGGATTAATCCCCCGGTGGGATTAGAAACAGACTCTAGAGCGCTACGCTGCCAATCCAGAATCATTTCCATGTTCTGGCTGAATGGAATGGATGGCTGGCACACTCTCTCCCTGTTTCTTTCTGGTTGGACAAGTTATCTCTAGAGGCTTAGGCGGGTAGGCAAGACCTATGCGTCCAGGTCTACTGCATATTCTACTCGGCTGTGTCCTCTTTCTCCTAGACCCTGGTTCAGCGTTGGGCTTGTTCGATAGCTTGGATAGTGCGGGGGCTGCTGCGCCTACGGACAGCTTCAGGTTTGCCTTCCCTACATCCTCACCCACCCGTGGGCTAGCTGAGGGCGCTACGAGTACGAGTGAACCCAGCAGCTACTATACTTCGAGCAGCTATGGCACACGGCCACCGATCACAGCAAACAGCACAGGACATCCTGCATCACCTGCCTCTAAAGAATCACCGTTATCAAGCGTCGCAACGACATCAAGTACTGTATCCACTGAGCTAGCATCTAGTCCCGCATCCAGCCATGCGCAAAATCAATCCACGGTCAGCTCCACGCAACTCCGAGAAACAGTTACCTCTACAAATGGAGAGCCTACTCCCGCCACTGTTATGAGTAGATCTACGACGGCTATTGTTGCGACTGCTAAGCGGCGGAAAGCACGCCGACGGAAGGTAAGCATTCTGTGACCTGGAGGTTTCTCTGAAAACTGGCTGGAATCTAACGCCAGGGCTATAATGCCCGAAACACGAGAGTTTGGGAGTTTATGCAAGTAGCATCAACGAAGGGAGTGACGATTATACCTGGAGTTGGTCAGAGGCGCTAGATTAGTGCCAGGAACATGTCAAACCACAACACAAAATCTATTCTTTAGGGTAAAACTTCATTGAACCTCTGGTCGAGCCCAACTCAATTCAGAAGTCGTGCCAGATTGAGGGAACGAAGGACCAACGTTTACTTGTTTTGCACGATACCTAGGGATGATACTGACATTCAAATAGCTGAAGTTTGGATCTACCACGCCTGGGATGAGCTCAGCAAAACTTACCAATATTGAAGGTTTTTTTAAGGATGGAGTAATTTCAGAGTAGGGAACAGCATTAGCAGTGGTTATTGTGCCAAATAGCGTGGCACGTGTTGACTCTAGAGTAACAGGGTTCATATAGCTTGCCAGAATGCGCCAACGGTGATCACGTTTTGCACTTATCAACAACCGAGTTTTTACTTATCTATCTCTTCAGGAAAATTAATGTAATTGAAGGTGATCGTATTCATAAATCGGAGAGACTAAAAAGGACTAGAGGCCAGAGATCCTCTAACCACTAATCTCTGGCGTTGCTGCCATCCAAGCAGCGACTGTTTAAGATTTTCTTCACACTTCCAGACTCACGCTTCCTGTGAAACTATACAGGCTGGTGGGACCCAGATTACAGGCTGGTGGGACGTACCAGTACTGGCAGTAGACCACACTGTACATAATACACTACTGATTCAGTTCAAGCACAGACTGTACCGTAAGTCTGTTCCGACTTCCGCATATTTAATGGTTTTTGTTTCTTGTTAGGCATGCACAGAATTCGTGCGGAAGCGGGGACAAGTCAAGGCCAGCATATTACGGGAGTGCTTCAATGTCAAGAAGTCGGGCCCACACGGCTGCCGGTAGGTGTGTGTGTGTGTGTGTGTGTGTGTGTGTGTGTGTGTGTGTGTGTGTGTGTGTGTGTGTGTGTGTGTGTGTGTGTGTGTGTGTCTGTGTGGCGTGGGGGGGGGGGGGGTGGGCTTAAATTTAAATTGAATTTTGTTCTTGCATTGCCTCTGCCATAGACAACTCAACAAATCCTTGTGGAACTTCTGACTGTGCTTGTAGTGCATGTGCACATGTGTGACTGCGGCTCATTTTACAGCAGCAACAACAACAACAACAACAACAACACCGCCACCACCACCGCCACCACCACCACCACCACCACCACCACCACCACCACCACCACCACCACCACCAACAACAACAACAACAACAACAACAACAACAACAACAACAACAACAACAACAACAACAACAACAACAACAACAACAACAACAACAACAACAACAACAACAACAACAACAACAACAACAACAACAACAACAACCATTCTGTTTAGGCAAAATATCTCATCCCTACTGCTAAACTAAATCTGCTCATGCACGAGCCATGCTCGCCCATGGCCCTGGTTTACCCACGGCATAATCTAGCATTCCAAATTCTCCATGTGATGTACATCTTACCGTACTATCTCTTATTGGCCACAGACCATCGTGAGAACAAAACATTTAAAACAACGACGTCGATGACAATAGGACGAGGAAAGATTACTAAATAGATCATGCACAAAGGTACACAATGAAAACCTTGGGCAAATTCGGTTGTGACTCAGAGTTTCATGGCTGTACCGATCATCAGACAACGAATGTATGTCCCTTGATTTGTCTTGTTGCCCACAGTGCCACGGGCCAGCAGCGGAGCTGTCGTGTGGAACTTCCAACAACGTCTCCGTGGCCTATTGCCCCTCTGCTGTACAGCCATAACCCTGGAAGGCCACTGCCCCGGCGCACGGGTGGCTATAGATCCATGCCAGTGTGCATAGGGCGAGTATGCAATTCGAGGCGCAGTCGGACATCCGAGCTGCCAAGGACCTCAGAGCCGTGCCAATGCCTGGTCTGTTGTAATGGCAAACTTGTCTGGCAACAGTTCCGTTGATATTTCACTTACTGCAGTGCATTTTTATATTTTGGTTGAGAGCAGACCATCGTATGTTTGAAGGTGCAGGAAGGCACACTATAACATCCACTGAGTACTGGGATCTTGATGTTGTTTATATTAACCCAACGTTGAAGCACCCCTCCCCCCCCCCCTCGAATGATTTTACTTGTATGCAGCCATGAAGCCGTTGAGTGAGAACTTTTGACTTTTGTTTTGTTTTACAACCATGTGATATTCACAGTCCTAAAGAATCCAAGTGCCTTTTTCACATGTTCTGCCGTAATTTTCGCACCCCTCACAACAGATTATAATAATTATAATTATGTTGGAATAGCCTCACTTAGATTGTTGTCTCCTAGAAACCGTTTCTTACACTGAGCATTGACGTATTCTAGCAAAGATGTTGCGACACCGAGGGAAATGGACAACAAAGTGTCGGCTCCAAACATCGAAGCTCGAGCTTCAGGTGTCAGGTCACTGGGCAGCTCTATACCGTACCTTTATGGTGTGTCACTGTAGAGTGACTGGCAATGTCACCTATCTACACTGCGCCTGCCGCGAATATCGTTGATTCATTCCGTAAATTATTGTTTGTTTTCCCCGAGACCAACATACTTGGACGCCAATATCCATGCATGAGCACGGCATGAAAGGTGATATTATTTTATACTTCACAAGTATTTTAGTTGATGATATGGATTCCCGGACTGCATGTTAACATAATACATGTAGCTGATAACGGTATCCGCACCATACATGTACATGCATCCGTAAAACCAGCCCATGATCTGTGTAATGCGGAAGACATCTTTTCGGTGACCAAATCAGCCTGAGATCAACGGTAGCATGTTCGTGACTCTTCTATTGATTTCCACGACCTGCTCAGCGCTAGGACGGTTTTGTGTCACCTTGCCGTCTGAAGTGAGAACATGAGACGTCCACACAAAGTTCTTAAAACCGCGTTTGCAAGACGATTGTCTTACAACATTCGCAATACAACGTTCGTATTACACGGCGTTTGGAGCCCAGGTTATTCAAGTGAAACTGTGCAGTATGCGTGCGTCTAGTCAGAAGATTCCGCCTTTCACACGCTGATCAATACCGGACCATAGAGTGTCGTGTCCTGAAGACAACACAGAAATGAAAGTTCCATTTCATAGCCTCCAGTTTACAAACACGATCGTAAGACAGCCTTACCAACAATCATTTTCTACTTTATATTTTAACAGTTAACAATAATTATTATCAACCTACTTACGCTGTCAGGTGATCGAGCAGACAATTGTACATATACCTACTTCGGTGTATGCAATCATAACCCACAGCCTTGGCGACACCGGAGTTTAGCGAAAGGTGATCACTCAACTAATTGTTATAACTTATAAGTGCTACCCAACGCATATGGCCGATTGCCGGCGATTGGTTTGCAGGCCTGCCTGCGAATCATGAGGTCCCGAGTTCGAGACCCGCGCTGGCAGCAGGGAGCGTGTAAAAAGACTTTTTACGCGTGTTGAACTGCGCCGAAACCCACGGTCAACTGAGTACTCACAGCTCGAGTGAGGATAACAAGGATGCAGTTTACAGGGTTATGGGCCGTTACACGCCCGATTGGTTGAGAGACTCACCTCCTCTCCCCTGACTCACTTGTGAGGTCTGCATTCGCCACTAAGGTGTAAAGGCATAGTGGTGGCCTGCGGAAGCGAAGGCTATAGCTTGTGTGTTTCTGAACATTCAAGTGATGCTAACGCGGATCCCGCAAATATTATTATTATTATAAGTGCTACAAGCAAGATACAAGGATGGGGGACGAACCAGTATGTAATATTTATTAGAGCGCTCAACAGCATAGTGACCGTTCGATTGTTGTATATGTACAATGCATGTCAATGTTAGTGTTGGAACAGAGATGTTTGGACGTTAAGGTCTAGGAATAGCCCATGCAGTGTGACCGATTCTCAGGACTTCATCTATTCTTGGTGGGAATTATTGCCAGGTGTTGTAGAAGATTTTTTTATATCTGCACTGGGAATGTAGTTGACATGCGTACTGTATCACACTTATCTGGACCTATAACCGTCAACCACCATGATACATGTACTACAAGCGCTGTTAGTAAATGGACCGTGAGTAACGATCACGTTGATGCACAAACTGACGGCTCTCAACGCCGCATGCATTTCTGACAGTCACATGCGCTCGGAAGTGACCACAGTTCCCGTTCTATCAACAGATGGAAAACCAATAGCAATCCCCAAACAATCATTCGGACGACTGTGCGGTCAATAATTTGGACTTTGGATACGTGGCAATATCGCTAAAAGCAAAATTCACGGTTCGCGTGAGACTCAGCCAAAGGCAGGAACGCCACCACCCTCTTGGATCAAGGCGCAGATGCAGCTCATAAAGCAGTGGGAGGTGCGTATATCAGACCCACCACAAAGTGGTCAAAGACCGAAAATTCCATTCACTGCATCCATGTTTCCCTCGTGCCAGGCCACGAGTTCCCAAATTAATTGTGGGTCGCAGCACGGCTGTAATCTATCGCTAGTCTATGGCTAAGGGTTAGCAAATTCGGGCTGACCTATATGCAACACAAGCCCCTGAGAACCACCTGCTGGAGTGAATAAACTCCTATGCCCTGTATACTGTGAAACGGTAATCTGGAGACTCTGCGTGGAGGCGCACACGTGTATTGTTTCCACTAAGCTTTGCGTGTGGGCAAAGGGCTGTACATGTGGTGCTAACCAGTCAGCACACACGCAGTGATCGCTCTGACCAGTTTACAACGTTACTAATACTAGCACACTAGGCTGCGGTGTGTATCACTACGTTTGTTTGTGTTTTTGGTTTTTTTACTAGAGCCACGTAAACCCGTCATGTGTGAGCCATGAATAAGGGGAGTGGTGGCGTGGTCTGAGATGCTCTGCCGACCTTGGGTCTCGGCTTCATCACAACCAGGCGCGCCAATAGCAGAGAGAGAAAGAGAGGGAGAGAGAGACAGAGACATAGACAGACACAGAGAGAGAGAGAGAGAGAGAGAGAGAGAGAGAGAGAGAGAGAGAAAGATAGAGAGAGTTAGATAGAGAGAGAGAGAGATAGAGAGAGGAGAGAGAGAGGAGAGAGAGAGAGAGAGAGAGAGAGAGAGAGAGAGATAGAGAGAGAGAGCGGGGAGGGTTGGGGAGCAAGAGAACTAAATAAGAGAACTAAATTAAGTATAAAAAATGAGAGAGAGAGAGAGAGAAAGAGAGAGAGGGAGAGAGAGCGAGCGGGGAGGGTTGGGGGCAAGAGAGGGGGAGAGAACTAAATAAAGAGCGGGGAGGGTTGGGGGCATTGCTACTCTATTTTTTGTTTTGTTTTACCGTTATTCATTGTCTGAGCGCTCTTTTCTTTGTACTACACCCTGCTATCTGGCTATGTTATTTTCTACAATAATAATTGTTTCCATTCGCTTCCATGTAATTGGGCGACACCGTCCGTTTGGTTCTGCGAATTCCAATGAAAACATACATATACCTACCTACCTACTCTGCTGAGAGGAATTCAATCATCATGAGAGTGACGCAAGTGGAAACAAGCAACATGAATTAACATGCTCCCATCGCCAGTTGCACACTCCTGGAGTTTTGGGAGTTGTGTGGTCCTGGTTGCCGGCCCTGTTTCGTATGACTGCGTTATGAATTTGTTTCAACATTTAGAACTTACATTTTGATACATAATTAATTATGTGCCGGCTTAGGCACCAATCTAAGAGTGCTTATCCCCCGAAACACACAGCAAGTTGTTCTTCAAAGCAGGCAAGTTTGCCGATAACCAGAAAGGGTGTCCAAGCAGTTGTGTATTGCAAAGTTCATACCAAGGAATTACAGCCGTGGAGTGGACGGATGACCAATGCAAGAAGCGTTGACGAGAGACAGGACATCCACGCCATGAGACGCCGATATGCATAAGCTGCAATACAGACAATAAAACCTAAAAGAGACCACCAGTCTCTCTCCCTCCCTCTTTCTCTCTCTCTCTCTCTCACACACACACACACACACATACACACACTCTCTCTCTCTCTCTCTCTCTCTCGCTCTCTCGCTCTTCTTCCCTCCTCGCTAGCGCTTTACAGTTCCCGGGCACGAACACTGCACATATACATTGTCTGACTCGGCCACGTCAGCACCTCAGTTATCATTGCAGCGGTCGTCGCAGAAAGCGTATTTTTACCTTCAAAGGCGAAGTGACCTTTGCTGAGGCATTTCGTCTAACAGGATCTACTTGAGGACAATCGCGGGGCAGAGCTAGTTCGACATAACGCCAAACACAAACAGGCCGCGGTGCCGATGAACATGCTCATCTATCCCGTGCTTTATGTGCGAGGCCAACTACACCAAGTCAAGCCACCGGCGACAGTATGGTCCCTTCGCTCACACGCACACGCACACACACATACACACGCACACACATACACACACCTGAGCGAAGTGAGCGTGCTTTCTACAGCAAAGGAAAGGCCCCATACTAGCTACACTGGACCTACGCGTACGTACACATATTATCACGTCCCACAACTTATCGCTTCCGATGGCTTGATCCCACGCCAACGTGGGCTGGAAAAGGCTGATCAAGATCTTAGGCATGGCTGGTGCATCACGATACGATTAAGGAATACCTAGACCTTCTGATATGCAGAGATTAAGCCCCTTTTGACATACACGGTAAACCATGGTGTGCAAGCTTATGTTTGGGGCGGCTCTGTGCCATAAGGCTGCGCCTGGGACGGAGCAATCGCAGAACCACTTCAAGTGTGTGTATCTAGACTATTGATCCACTCGTACACTCACCAATAGTGGAGGGACCTCGAGATCACGTGTGCTGCTATACTTACACATGCCCAAACGTGACTCCACCTTAAATGGTGGTAGGGGTCTGACATATTCACGAACATCATCATCCACAGGGTGACTAAGTGACGTGGCAATGCGGAAAGTGCAACCATGACTGTTTACCAAGCTCCCAAATGTCACCCGTAGATTCCTGTACTACTAGTACTACGAGTGTAGTAGTGAGCAATACAAACGAGACAGGGTTGTGATGGCTAAGCCAAGTACATGTACATGTACATATCCTAGGTCCCAGTATCGCCTTATGGATGAGCCATCGACTGGCCAACCGGCGCATCGACCGTCAGATACCAAACCCTCATAGATCATGTATGCTTCAAGCACGCAGGAGTACCGGCTCACCAATAACTTCAAAGTAGGGAAACCGCTGAAGGCAACACAAGGGTATGTACATGTACAATAATAGTAAGGCCCTGCTACGAGGCGCCACTCATCACACACGTTGGGTGTCAACGACTCTGCAAAGGACCCGCGAGGACATTCGATAGTTTGTTTGTCAGAACGGAATGCGATTGACTGGTCGGCCACCATTTTCCTCATGCCTTCTCTGAATGGGAGCCAGACTACGTGACGTTATCAACGCAGACGAAAGAACAATGCATGTTTTGCCCGTAGCATTGCAATTATTTCTCATGTTGATGCATACAATATCAGCATGTTGCGTTGCTTGATGCAACATAACACGCCATTCATGGGTGCCAGGATTCACCATTAATTTTTAGTGGAGATATTATCATCCGAACAAACTGTCAAAGATGGATCCATGAAAACGGTCAGGCATGTGTACATGATCTAATACTAGCACATCAAAATTTATTTCAAGGAAGTAGGAAGGAAAATTGTGAACTGTTTAACAGCTACATGTACATGTACATGTACATGTACATTCTAATACGGTTGACCATATGGGCAGAACACATATTGTACGCCATTTGATAGGTTTCATTCATGCGTGTCCCACCTACCCGTCCTCCTCCGCTCTCTTCCCTTTCCATTACATTGTATATTATCATTCATGCTATATCGGTGCATGTACATTGGAGTCATGTACAATGTAGCTGACCATGAATCCGAGACATCAGGTCGGCCGAGTGCACTATTCTACATTTAGGTGTCATCACCCTTTTGCTCATCAATTCTAAGCAGATCGGAGCCCAGGGGGCACTTGTAGAAAACAATTCGTCGAAGCATGATTGACGGTGTTCTGGATGACAAAGCGAATCTGATCTTCAGTATCGGTTATGTTTTCTCGTATTGTCCAGCTAACCCGTGAAACACTGCATGGGTTATCTCCAAGCCGAATACTGCTTGTTCTCCTGCGAACCTGTACGAACCGACAAGTGCTTGCTAAAGTCAAGATGCGTTTAGAACCAGGCTCCTGATAGAGCAAGAAACTCGGAGAAGAGAGGATCGTATTTCACTGGTGACCTTGATTTGTGTGACCTTGATTTGTGTCACCTTGATTTGTGTGACCTTGATTTGTGTGACCTTGATTTGTGTGTGATCGGAAGTACTAGTCTCTCAACGAGCACTCCACTCTGACATTAAGCCATCAAGGACAATCCTGTAAACTCAAGATTGTCATGCTCCCTCGTTCATCGTGCGTGTACGGGCAATACAACCTAATGTGTGTCTCTCACATACCTGTACGTGTGCGCGTGCACTCAGTGAGCAGCAAGCAACAACAAGGCGAGACACAATTCAGGCTCAATGACCCGTGTACAAACTCGATTTGCACAAGACGCGTTTGCTCTTGTCTCGTGCCGGTCGAAACCAATCCTAGAACATAACGCCTTACCCATTCTGGATGGCTTTCGTTTGACTATCGTCAGACGGACATCTGTAGAATGAAATGAGTTGTCTCAATCGCTTCCCTTTCAACTTGAATACCAATAATCGACCGTGTATTTGCTCTCTATGTGCGCCAGTTTGTGTTTGTGTGTGTGTGTGTGTGTGTGTGTGTGTGTGTGTACGTGTGTGTGTACATGTGTGTGTTTGTGCGAGAGAGAGAGAGAGTTGGTGTGTGTGTGTGTGTGTGTGTGTGTGTGTGTGTGTGTACGTGTGTGTGTACATGTGTGTGTGTGTGTGCGAGAGAGAGAGAGAGAGAGTTGGTGTGTGTGTGTTTGTGAGTTTGCGATTGCGTCTGCGAGTTGGAGTGTTTGTGTGTGAATTGTACGTGTTACCGTGTACCACTACGATTATTTGTCTAACTCGTTGGACACGTGGATTAGGTGGCACTTAAGAGCATACTCCCCGAATCACAGCAAATCATTCTTCCTGTTCCTTCCGCTAGATCTTCAGCGGGCGATTCCCTGAAGAAATTGATTTCTCTGTCTTCTGTCCCCGTACTGAGGGTCTAACTAATGGGGTCGGAAGTTCTTGCAACGGAATTTTCTTACCCACTTCACGTTGCACACCAAACCAAAGTGTGCCTGCTTCAACAGGCCGCTGTAAAGACTCTCCAAGGTGAAGGTCTTGTGAAATACACACTCTGCTTCACAGTATACTGTGTACGGCCATTCTGACAGCGCCCATGGTGACTCCCTTCTACACGTTGTATTGTAATACTACTCCACGATTGGCTTGCGTTCATCAGCAATACCCTGTGTCATACAGTGTAGTTTCCAGAAATATGCTTCAAAAAGCACAAACGTTTCGTGTCTGGAGCCGAAAACGAATTGAACAGTACTCGCCTTAATGTCTGTGAAATTTAACTCTTTTTTAAAGATCTTTTCAACACCCTCAAACGATGGAACATTGAAAATTGAACTCCAGGCGATATTCCTTCCTTCCCAATTCAACTTTTTGGCCTAGACCATTTTTGCGAAATTATACTACGGTAATGATAAAAAATTCGGCAATATTCCGTACCTCATCTTGCAAACCCGATTGCGGCCAGATAAGAAATCAGTGGTCCTTCTGCCACAACCATGCAAAGCACCATCACACCTAAACACACGCACACACACACATACAAACAGAGACGCATATGCAAACAACCACACACACACACACACACACACACACACATATATATTATCCATATAAAAATCGCTCTGTGAGCGGTTCTGAAAAACCTTTACTGGTACTGCCCCGTCGTAAAAGTAAGAAATTAGAACTGGCCCATTGTCCCCCCAAATGCGAACTGATCCACCTAAATCGCGAATGACGGGACCCGAACGCACCAGTAGCACGAGGTCGGGAGGGCACAGGATCACGGCAATTATCATAGGGTAACACCAGTAGTAGCAGTAGAATTATTATTTTGATAGGGAAGCCTACCGCTAGTACAGTACATGGCCTATGGTCCGGACCAACGTCCCCATCTGCATCCACAGGTAGGAACCTCGTGCTACTGGTGCGTTCGGGTCCCGTCATTCGCGATTTAGGTGGATCAGTTCGCATTTGGGGGGACAATGGGCCAGTTCTAATTTCTTACTTTTACGACGGGGCAGTACCAGTAAAGGTTTTTCAGAACCGCTCACAGAGCGATTTTTATATGGATAATTTCAGCTCTTTTTCCGTTCCCTCCCCACCCCAACCCCGAAGGTAAACATGATGACCACACGCGCGATGTACTGTATGTAGCCATGCGACTGCAATAACACACTGATACATACCAGCCCTCCCCGCCTCGCTACCCCGCACACAGATACACAAACATGTGTATGCACACGGCACACACACGTGGCCACGCACACATACGCACATGCACACGACACAAACAGGAAATTCTTCATGTATAATGCCATGCAAAGCAGTGGCCACCGTACTTGAGGAAGTCAGTTGTGAAACAAAAATAATTCAACTACAGCGTGTAGACAAGCTGACGGCCAAAGCACAACATAGCAAACATGACATTTGCCCAATGATTGCAGTTTGCAGACCATGCCATGGAAGCAGCGAATACAGAATGTAATATCATACAAAGTGACAAGCAAGGACGTGGCCATCATACACCAGAAACTTGCAGAAAGTCACATATCCAACAGATAGAGAAGTGAACAGCAATCTGATACAGCCCACACAGGACAAAGCGGACCTGATACTCGTCCCAGGATCGCAAGTGGCAAACCCTTTTCAATGCATAACATGCAGGTGTACGTTAGACGCATGAACATCTGACCGTGTCGCCAGCATACAATGTCATCACATGTTTACCCCACAAGTTACACACATGCACAGTAGAAGCACAATGAAAGCAATGGAAAAGTACGATGTGGTTGCTGAAGCATCTTCACACTTCAAATTCAGACTTCAATGTGGTCGTCACGGGATGATATACCTGCAAGATACAAGTGATGAAGTAAGAAAGCAGAAGGTCGTGAGGTAGGCTATGAGACACCACAAACGGTTCACCTACATGTCTGTTCAGGGCTAGTGCACTCACACGGAGAATTGTCATAATCGAGCATTTCCCAAACTGAGAAGTGCAATGAAATCCACTTGCATGCACAGGAGCAATTTTGCAATATTATGATGCGCAATTCGACACGATCTGCGATGCTGCGTGCGATGTGCCCTGCTGTCATGATAGTGACAGTCACCGCAGTATGTTTTGTCAACGTCGCCCGTGCACTCTTCTGTCAAGTCCAAAGTGCTCACATACTTGGCAATGTTTTTGCAGTGATTAACTTTTATCCTAGTGTCACGGGTAACTTTAATGAAGTACCCGCAGGCCGTGTCAATCTGCACATCGTCCACTCTCTCATGTACTTGGCCTGCTTTGTCTGTGTATCCATTTCATGTGCGATCCACAAAATCGACTAGACAGTGGGTGCAATACGCGCTCTACCTGAAGACGTTCTTCTGGCGACATCTCGCCATGTACTTGGCCTGGCTTTGTCTGTGTATCCATTTCATGTTCGATCAACAAAATCTCAATGCACTACAGAGACTAGACAGTGGGTGCAATACGCTCTCTATCTGAAGACGTGAACCATTAAGTTTTTTGGAAAAGTTATATACAGTACGTACACCTGAAACGTAATGAAGTACAGGAATAGAGAGAGTGACTACAATACGCTCTCGACCTGATATAGTGATAACGTGAGTACAAGACACTCTCCACCTGATAACGTGTTAGAAGGTAACATGTCTACAGTCCCACCGTACCCTTCCGACACGACTGTAGACCATTAAATTTTTTTGAGAAGTTATACGTACACCTTAAACGTAATGAAGTACAGGAATAGAGAGAGTGACTACAATACGCTCTCGACCTGATAACGTGAGTACAAGACACTCTCCACCTGATAACGTGTTAGGCTGTGTTTACATGAGAAATTTCAACCCGGGTCGAGTTCAGCCCGGGTTGAAAGTCTGTACGATAGACAAAAGAGGTGAGTGTTTACATGAAGACAGTTGACCCGGATCAAATACTGATATGCCGCCAAAAGTCCACTTCTACAGTCCTGTACAGGGCCGGAGGAAGGAGTTTGGGAGTGGTCCGGGGACCTCCCCCGGGAGAAATATTTAAAATTTACGTGAAATAGAGCGAATTTGGGCGTCTCTTAATTAAGGTTCCAGAAAATGCAGAAAATGATAGTAAAAGAACACAAACACAACTTTTATTTAACCATAATTATGATTAAAGCCATACAGTGCCGGTCACGGAGTCCTGAGCTTCTTCGAAGCACATCACACGTCGGCAGTACAGTCGAGTCGTGTACCTCTGGACTTTTTACACCGGTTTTGCACGAATCACATGGACCCAGGGAGTCGTAAAATACCGGTATTTTACGACTCCCTGCATGGACCATCCAGCTGGGAAAGTGGTCCGGCCATGGCCGGACCAGCCTGACCGGTTCCGCCGGCCCTGCTGTATGGTCACGTGAATCCGTTCGCGCGAAATTTGCATCTGCAGTGCCGTTCAAACCTGGCGCGAGATACGCACAGAAGTACGTTTGTACGATTTTCTTGACCCGGGTTGATTTCAACCCTCCCCTTGGGGGGAGGGTTGAAATCAACCCGGGGCGCAATTTCAACCCGGGTCAAGCGCAATGCGTCATGTGAACGCGCCATTCATTTTGTGCACATGGCGGGTTGAAATCTGACCCGGGTCGAACTCAACCCGGGTTGAAACGCTTCATGTAAACACAGCCTTAGTAGAAGGTAGCAGGTCTACAGTCCCACCGTACCCTTCATCATTCCTCATTCACCATCGCGCGATACCCTGGCACACACTGGCAACATATCAATGGGGTGCCTTACCGTCGTCTAGAGGAGACGTCTTCGCAGCAATATTTTCCCTCCTGCGCATTCAGTCGCCGACGCGACAGCGTTCACGGGGCCGTTCCAGTTGCGGAAGACATTCGATTCATCGGGCCAATTCAGCAACAGGGCCGTGGACACACAGGGGGCAGAGGAGAGACATTGTTAGTGGACAAGAAATATGCAGTGGCAAGTGGCGAGTGCCGCATGGATGTCAAGTTGTCATGCACAATTCAGCTATTACTTACGGTCCAGCTAGTCCTGCCATTGCTCGCTCGTCCTGGTTCCTCCTCGTTCGTCTTCCTGCACGTCTGCACTTCTCCTTCCCCACCGTTGGCTTTGCGGTACGGGGGTGCCGGAAGGAATCCCCACATGTACATGAAGTCCCACCATGACTCTCCATGTACATGTCCACGGCCACGTCAGCAGTTTTATAGTACCGGAAGGAGTTCCCACGATGTCTCCAAAGGCCTAGAGCGGACGTCTTTGCAGCAATTCTTTTCGCCCTGCGCATTCAGTTCGCCATGTCTCCAAAGGCAAAGGCCTAGAGCCTAGTAGAAGGGACGTCTTTGCAGCAATTCTTTTCACCCTAGTACCCTGCACATTCACTCCGCCGACACGACAGCGTTTACGGGGCCGTTCCAGGTGCAAAAGGTCCACGTCAGCAGTTGTAAGGGGCCTCCTCGAGTCCTCGTTCGACTTCGTCGACTTCTGCAGTTCTCCTTCCCGTCAGGGGTACCGAAAGGGCCCTCCTCGCAGTTGTCCTTGCCGTCAGGTCCACGTCATGCATGCTCAACTATTTCGCGTACGGGATAGTCGTCTTTGTCGTACGCGACATCGGCGTTTACCGAGTGGCATTGGCACAAAGCAGACCGTTGACGGGGTCACGTGTCAAAAAAGTATCAACAACGTGTCGACTACGTGTCGACCACGTGTATAGCGGTACACTCAGCGGTACACTAATTCTCGTGCCATTCTCGTGTCACAAAACTGGAACATCGAGTACCAGTATGGAAAGGCTTCAGACAGGAAGCCTTTCCAATATACACACGCATACAGACGTCTAGGGCACTTTGCCACCAATCTTTGTCGAACCACCTCACTGTGTGTGAGTGGTGACATCACATCTCTTCGAGGAACATATGGTGCGATAGGACGAAACATATCGGTTGCGATACGACATATACTATACAGGTATTTCCGCATACGTAGATGATAATAGAGAATTCAGAGGTCGAGAGTATTCGCAATCTACAAATTTGGGGTTCTACGAATCATCGGGGAAAAATTCACTGCATGCTAGCTCCGCATTACATTGCAGAGTGCGTTTACGATGGCGTTCCTTTTATAGATACAATGCACAGTCCCTTTTTGGAACTCCAAAGACGAAAGGTGGCTTTAGGAGATACAGGAGTGCGTGGGGGACAATTTGGTAGTCAAGCACGTAGAATTTGAAGCATAATATAGGGATCCGTCCACCATGCCATTCACCCAGTAGAACTGTGGGAGTGTGGGGAAGGACAAGCCGGCGGGACGCATTCAGGCTCGGGAGCAGCGGGCACGACCTGTGCTTTGCAAGGCAAGATGTTGTCTCAACGTACGGATACGATCAACCTCCTCTGGTTGTACGGCAATAGTTGCACATGTAAGCTAATAGAAGAAAAAAACGTTTCAGGGTCACCTCTTGAAGAGAAGCGACACAAGGAGTGATGAGATAATTATCCGTTAGCGCTCAGAGAACTCTGCGAGATACCAAATGCATGTACATGTGCTGAAGGGTTTAAAGTCATGGGGAAAGCGTACTACCATATCAGGATATTGCTGGTATTAAAACGGGCTTATGGTCGCATGATAGCAAATCTAATGATCCTGGATGCGTCCCACCAACGCCCTAATGTCCTGCTAGTCGTACATGTACATGTCGCTGTGACAGTCTGCTATCGTAATGCGCAGTCCTAGTCATCGTCCTGACTCTGTCTATTCCTCTACGACACACTTTGACAACCAGTATCTATATACGACTGTTACTGTCTCGTCCGCTCCTTATTCTGTTCCCACGTCGATTTGGGCTGTGGATAGAGCTCTTGTTGTTTGATTTGATTATAATTCCAATTGGCCAGACGAGCAGAGGTGCTCAATAACAAGGAAGCGAATGAAGGTGCCAAGAAGCACGAGGGGACTTAACACCAGACACTATTAGATACCGGGGGTAGGTGGAGTCCGGTCCGAGATGGTCACGTGTAGAAATTCAAGTACAGTCATGTAGATACGGTTAACTGCATCAGTTCAAGGCTTTTCAAGGGCTATGGTACGTGATTCCATGACCTGGTGCGTGCCACTGAGACTCTGCACCGCGTCTTTCTCACCATTTCACCACTGGTGGGCATTGATAAGTGGCTAACACAATATTTCGTTAGTAAGGCGAGGTGCCTCGTACATCAGTGGAAAATACCGGCAGGCAAAATATTTGCTCTGGCTTCAAAACCATGATGGGTTTGCAGTCGAGACTCATAAACGTTCAATTGCAATGTTTGTGGGCTCAAGACGTCACGTGTGTTTTCAACATTCAGAGTCGCTTCGATTTGGGGGTAGCATAACGGTGCATACTGTAGTAAACGGTGAAGTCAGGTCATGTTCACACATTCTGACGGCGACATGTTCTGTGTGTGCCATTTCTTATTTTGGAAGCACATGTACGGATTTCGACCAATCGTCACAGGCCGAAGGCGGATTGAAAATTGGATAGACTGTTAGCGGAGTGAAGCAACATGCTTTGGACATGACGTTGTTTTCCGCGATGCATACCCGACTGGCATGTCCGTGCTGTTTAACAACCATCCTGACTGTCTACACGATCCCCCCGGCCCCCCGCCCCCCCCCCCCCTCGTCCGTTGACACATACATGTATGTGTACGCGATCTCTACTTTTTGCTACGTTCGAGAAATAATTTGCTTTCCGTGCCAGCGGGCTGTGAATACGTCACTGGGGGCACCGTAAACTGTGTTTGGTTGGAACGGGCCGCGCCTGCTAGGGAAGCCGAGTATCACTGGGCGGTAGCATGCCACCTCAGCATGGCAATGCTGCACTACGCTCTCGCACTGACAGAACAGGAGGCATTGAGGGCGTCCATGTGCTGGCTAGGTGCGTGTCGCCCGTATCTGCCTCCTGCATCTCCTTCTTCCTAATGCCGTGCATAGGTGATGGTGGATATCTCCGGGGGTGCTGACGTCAACGTCTGACGGGACCGCGACTTGACGTAGCTACGTACAAGTCGCACTTACCTTTCAATGTTCTCCTCTGGCATGTAGCGATCCTGAAGTATAATTCATCATGGGCACGATTTTGCGATGAACGATGACTACGGCATTGTGTTGTAGAATGTGCATTGTGTGGTAGAATGTGGCTACGGGCCTTAGATCTGTAGCTCTATCTCGGTAGGCACGCGACGGGCAAAAAAAGAGTGGGCTGCCTCCGATACCAAGGCGTGACGCTAATGCTATCGTCCGTCCTGTCTTGATGGAATTAATTCCAGGCGCAAGGTCTAGCGCTGTTCAGCCATGATACCTTTGAAAGGAGGAATTCGAATCTCGTTAATGTGGATGACAGGTTACTGCAGGGCGCCTACAAATAACTTGCAATTAGCTTTGTCAAAGCCACCACGTGTACGGCCCCTAAGCAATGAAATTCCTTAGCCTCAAGCACCAGTATCCAGTGGAGCAGAAATATCCAAACTTCTAAACCTGCTCACAAAAAAACTTCTCCTCAAATGGGATGTGGGAGGAATATCAGGATGCATGAAGGGCCGCACTCGCCAATCTTCATTCAACCGAGCATCAACAGCACAATGTACGTTGTTATTATTATTATTAATAATTTTCTTATTTTAAATAGCCTACGTGGAGATAAAAATTGATTTCTTATTTTGTTAGGGATTTCCCAACAGGCAACGTACGTGACAATGTATGTAAACTGGGAGGATTTGCCTCTTTTCACAAAACTCACATTCCATTTGCGAACCTTTTATTTTTATTTTTTACAACGTAGCTTGTGTGTTCATGTCCTAAGTACAGTAGCATGATGCACTGGATTTCGTAATTGTAAGTTTCCGTCATGGCATGCATCCTGACGACACGAATGGTATTCGGGGATAGAGGGTGCTTCTAGTCGTGCTGCTATGAATTCCTCTCATTCTAGGTCTGCCCAGACTAAACAGGCAGCCAGTCCGTTGACATCTGCTGTCCGTTGAGGCGATACTGTCGCAAGAGCATTACTTACTTATATGGGGATTGTATGGGGGAAGTGAAAGGTTACTGTTGCCGTGATTGCAGCCATCATGCTATCCTTTGCGTATGTTTGTAACTCCATCCCCTTTACCTGCAGTCAATGGGAGCAGTTGATATGTTGACGTTAGAGCCGCGTCACTGTTTACGTGTGAGTCAAGAGGACGGAAATTCAACACATCGTCAGACCACCACACGAATTCCTAGTGCTCGCTTTGACGGAACCGCAGAGCACTTTGGCGAGGTGGCGCTGGCCTGAGCGCGCGCCCAGGAGAAGGGCTGCGTTGGCAACATACCCCCGCTACTGGCCATACCAGCACCGGGGCTATGCAACCACCCATCGGCACCACCATCGGAGAGATTTCGGTTATCTGTGAGGCTCACTTCAAGCCACGGCATGCTACAAGACGTTCGTCTCCATTCTTGGTACGGGCGCTGGGTGCAATGTGCTCTCTGGTTTGTGTACAAAGTCTTTGCGTTGCTGAATAAGTTGTCTTTCACGAGCATAGACAACAATGCTCATTCCACCGGCTCTAATCCACAGTTACATCGACTGTACTGCTCTTGTTAATAATTCAGCTAGCGAGATCGCGCTTGTCGAAGATCTTTATCTTTTCTATCCAGCTCTCTCTTCTTCTCAGCACGATCCAACCGGCTGGAGCTAGTTAGCAGTATAAATGGCAAGCGCTCGAGCTTCTAACCTCAGAACGCATTGCAAACCTTTGCAAGAAGTCAAATTCAATGCTAAAAGGATAGCTTTAGAAAAAGCCAGTTTCAAAGCCCCTTAGCTTTTCGAAACTGTTCTTCGTCCTCGACTCATTATGAAGCTTTTCGCATTTTCCCTGGCCGTCTTGGCCACAATCGCCCTTCTCCAGGGCTTGGACGCTCGGCCTTACCGCCGTCAGGAAGACTCGAGTGTTGATGGCGAGGATGATTCCTCCGCCGACAGTGTAAGCAGCGTGGACTCCAGCGCTGACAGTGCCTCGGATTCAAGCGCCGACAGCGACGTAGACTCCGCCTCAGACAGGAAAAGACGCCAGACCTCCGAAGATGACTCCTCAGGTGAAGATGACAGCGTGGATTCGAGCGCAGACAGTGCCTCAGATTCGAGCGCCGACAGCGACGCAGACGGAGACTCAGACAGGAGAAGGCGCCAGGCCTCCGAAGATGACTCCTCAGGTGAAGATGACAGCGTGGATTCGAGCGCAGACAGTGACTCAGATTCAAGCGCCGACAGCGACGCAGATGCAGACTCAGACAGGAGAAGGCGCCAGGCCTCCGAAGACGACTCCTCAGGTGAAGATGACAGCGTGGATTCGAGCGCAGACAGTGCCTCAGATTCGAGCGCCGACAGCGACGCAGACGGAGACTCAGACAGGAGAAGGCGCCAGGCCTCCGAAGACGACTCCTCAGGTGAAGACGACAGCGTGGACTCTAGTGCCGACAGTGCTTCTGATTCAAGCGCCGACAGCGACGCAGACGCAGACTCAGACAGGAGAAGGCGCCAGGCCTCCGAAGATGACTCCTCAGGTGAAGACGACAGCGTGGACTCTAGTGCCGACAGTGTCTCTGATTCGAGCACCGACAGCGACGCAGACGCAGACTCAGACAGGAGAAGGCGCCAGGCCTCTGAAGATGACTCCTCAGGTGAAGACGACAGCGTTGACTCTAGTGCCGACAGTGCCTCGGATTCAAGCGCCGACAGCGACGCTGACGCAGACTCAGACCGGAGAAGGCGCCAGGCCTCTGAAGATGACTCCTCAGGTGAAGATGACAGCGTGGATTCGAGCGCAGACAGTGCCTCAGATTCGAGCGCCGACAGTGACTCAGACGCCGCCTCAGACAGGAGAAGGCGCCAGGCCTCCGAAGATGACTCCTCAGGTGAAGATGACAGCGTGGATTCCAGCGCAGACAGTGCCTCAGATTCGAGCGCCGACAGCGACTCAGACGCCGCCTCAGACAGGAGAAGGCGCCAGGTCTCAGAGGATGATTCATCCGGAGAAGACGACAGCGTGGACTCCAGCGCAGACTCTGTGTCTGACTCCAGTGCCGATTCCGACTCAGCAAGCAGATAATACAACTAGAAATGCACAAATAAGTATGAAGACCCAACCAAGCAAATCAACAACGCATGACTGCCGTCAAGATCTTGTAAATTACCCATCGCGCAGAAGATGGCAGTACATATAAAATGTCCTTCCTGCCTGGCCCCAATAAACAGCTCGTCCACCAGCAGACGGAGCGGGAGACGCTGGCACTAGGTCGCGGTGAAAGGACCAGGGCAGACGGGACGCCCTAGCTATAGCAACTCCATTCTCCGCTTCCACCAGGCTACCGCAAAGAAGACCTGGTGTCCTTGAGTACATGCATTATTCTGACTTAGTCTATTTCTTATTACTTAGCAATTCAAACCTTCTGCATGCACAGTACGAAACCTGATGATGATCTTCCTTCGAACACTCCCTACGTAATTACTATCCTACACTATTATCACAGGTCTTCAATCCGTATTCTTTCTACATGTCAGTATGATGTAACGTACTGACTATATTTTTTTGTCCGTCTCAGTTGGCTTTGTGCAACACACATAATTAATTATTATTGTAGCCTAAGTCATTTTGGGTCATGTTTGCTATTAAATTTTGATCCCGATATTGGTGGGTCAAAACATAGGCTTTCTAAAGTTTGTTCACTTTCTGCAAAACACAGCGTAGCACATCATAATCATCATCAATATTATTATAAACAGTGAACTGGAAATTGCCTTGTCGCGGTGAGAGTTGTTTTGGTGTATCGTGCTGCACATTTGCAAGGGGCCGATAATGGCGCGTGGTGCTCTTCATTGCTTCGCGTGCCGATAGCTGTTTCCCGAAATTCTAGACTTGCAGTAGAAAACTTGCGAATCGCGCTGTCGCAGGGGCTGGTGGCAGAGGTGGGAACTTTGCAATATGCCCAAACTTGATAATTGATGTACACAGCACATGGTTATGGTTAGGTCCCGACAGTAGACAGGGCACCCGGAGCAGTGCGTACAACCTGGGACAGACAACAGACACGCAGGTACTAAGTGTACAATCATAATCCTAGCTAGATTCAAGTGTCTCGAGGTCACCCATACAATGTATGTGTACATGTACATGTACACATACATTGTACATGTACATGGCCACAACTCTGTAATTGTACTACAAGTCGCGTTCCTCAGAGATAGGGCAAAGATGGTGTAGGCAGCCATTCGCCTTCTTTCGCCCAGTGTTATCAACGCAATGGTACCAGCTAGGCGGCCGTATACATTCGGGTGGTATGGCAGATCACATTCAACAAGAACAGGATACGTGCCCAGTGATAAGACTGCCTTTAGTCACAGCGGCGGGACAATACCGACTCGTGGCGATATGACCTTAGCCTGTCACCCTCTATCTATTCCTATCCGCGGTGGATCGTGCGCTCGACGGCGAACGTGTCCATACTTGTACTCAACACCACGGCTCCATAGGAGACAATCATCGACAGGCTCTAGTTAGACTTGCTAATGGTGACGCTCATGCGGCCCGCTTATCACAAGCTATGCGTTAATATTAACGAATTCAGGGAGAAGCGAGGCCGATTGGTACCCGTTGGTATTCATTCCTCACAGTTCGATAACCATCTATTTTCGTTATAATTATGCTTGCTGTGTGGATGGCAGCAGCAGTCGGGAGGTGCAAGGGAAGGATCGGTCACTGGTGCACCACGCCAGCAGTAAAAGCAAACAGCATGTCAGCCCTGGCCGCCCTGGCCGCGAAGATAAACACACAGCGCAGAGGTATCGCCGTATACATGTACGTTGGGGGCCCGCATGTATGCATCGATCTGTGTACATGTGTGTGTGTGTGTGTGTGTGTGTGTGTGTGCGTGTGTGTGTGTGTGTGTACGTGTGTGTGTGTGTACGTGTGTGTGTGTGTGTGTGTGTGTGTGTGTGTGTGTGTGTGCGGGTGGAGGGGGGGGGGGATATGCATGCGTTTTCACGAGTTAGAGTGCTTGGGTATATGTGCGTATATTTTCGAGCGCTTGGCTGGATGGTTTTGCTTTGCTTTGTCTGCGTGTGTGCGTGTGTGTGTGTGTGTTTGTGAGTGTGAGTATGTGTCTGTGTATGCGTCTGTGTTTAGGGAGGGGAGGAAGGTGGGTGAAGTAACATGTCTGAGTTTGTTTTCATTTCAAATCCTCTTTGCAGGGATGGAGCAGGAGATCATGACAGCTAACCTCTGGTACTTTTCCTACATCATCGCTTGGGACGACTTGGGAAGAAATAATGTGGTTAGATGTAATACTAATAGCAAATAGTACTTCAAAGTAGGTACAAGAATATTTACATGTAAGTCATGAGGTAATAATTATAAGAAGTTATTGTTTCTCTTAGCGATCCACCCAGGGTCGCAGTTGTATTGATAATGCTGAGACGAACCTGACCCACTTGGTCACATCTGTAGTGAAAGAGGTTTTTGAAACAAGGAGTCTCATTTCTTCCACATCCCAGGAAAAGAAATGTCTGCTTTTGTGTCTCATGCGAACGGGGTAGGCTGCTCCCTGCCAGCGAGGAACCGAGGTAATTCTTTTCTTTTTTCTCTTCTTCCATGGTTGGTCTCACCCTCTCCACAATCAAATTGGCTGTCTTGACATGCTACGAGGTGCAGAAATAAAATAAATAAACTCGAACGCTTCTGTAGATTCATAGATCTCACACGGCAATCCACCTTAGCCTCCCTCTCTGAGAACCCTGGGAATTCTTTTCCAGTCATTTCAGCTCTGATGTTCAAGATTGTCATGGGCTAACATGTACCCGGATTTTCACGATCCTTGGAAGCATTTTTGATTCACCAAGCGATCGGGAAATGATTCTTTCTCCCCTAACCAACGCCTGGCTCTCACAGAATGTATTCTAGTTTTAATGATTATGACACCCAATGCTGTAAACAGCAAGCTGTTTCGGCCATAAAGGCCTCATCAGTACAGCTACGAGCTAAATAGGCCGAGCTACCAGCCATGGTGCAAAGGAGGCACCACAGGCATTAAGATAGCTCGTCGCTCTAGCGCCAGAGTGCTCAAACTACAAAAAGTAGCGGGCATTGCGCGATGCAGCAGCACTAGAGCAGCCTACTGAGAGTGCTCAACAAGGCGAAAGCCGAGGAGCGTGATACCCAATGCTGTAGACAGCAAGCTGTTTCGGCCATAAAGGCCTCATCAGTACAGCTACGAGCTAAATAGGCCGAGCTACCAGCCATGGTGCAAAGGAGGCACCACAGACATTAAGATAGCTCGTCGCTCTAGCGCCAGAGTGCTCAAACTACAAAAAGTAGCGGGCATTGCGCGATGCAGCAGCAAAAACCCTTTACAATTCAGCATGAGGTACATGTAGCAGTGGCATTTTGTATAGAATAAAAGGGTTTGTGTTTGTTCTTTGCAGTGATTCTGCTGTCGGTAGAAGCTGACAATGCTTTTCGCAACTACATGTACCTCTAAACTGTGTGTGTATGTGTGTGTGTGTGTGTGTGTGCGTGCCGTGTGTGTGTGTGTGTGTATGTGCCGTGTGTGTGTACGTGTGAGTGCGTGCGCGCGTTTGTGTGTGTGGTGTTCTAGCAATGTGGACAGCAGGGAACAAATTCCGTCTCAAGTATACATGTATGTACATGTACATGTATATTGGCCTTGTAGGTATTCTGTTGAGAGGCTGACTTTCACAACAAACGGAAACTGCTGAGAGAGCGCCCTTACGTGCGTACGCAGTATTGTAGCGAGTCACAATGCATGGTATGATTTCAGTCAGCTACATATACATGTACAATGAACACTGCTCGACATACTCCAGAACATGTCTACAATCAACGTGAACGTCCTTCGCTGCGTCCGCTATGTTCTCCGCTCTGTCTATGTCATTGAGCACTCTCTGCAGCTCGGAGATGGATGGGCCTGTGTGTTTGGAACACGTCAACTCCTTAGCCATGTGACGAGTTCTAGTTGGGTACAATTTCAATGTAGAGAGTCTCAGACAAACGTGGCAGGTACAATGTGCGTCATACTAAGGGCGCCATGTCCATCATTGCTAGTCCTACAATCCGGTATCCATCTCCTGTCAGACCCTCCAGTGAACAGTTCAGCGTGCAAGTAGATCTTCCTCCACCATATTTAACAGCATTTCACTCTGCCTCTTTTGTTAAATTCCCAAGGCACACTCTAAGACGACTACTATAATTCTGAACTTATGCACCGAATTCCCAGGGCACCCTCTAAAACTTCTACTTGCGGCGTCCAGAGGCGGGCTCACACCCTAGTATGGCAGCAGCTTCTACCTTCCCGATGCTTAACTCCCAAGACAGAGTAGGAAGACGGAAGTTATACATGTAGCTGTTTCTACAATGGTGTATGCTCGTTTCTATAACGCTCTGTGTGCGTGACGACTCATTGCATCCTTGGCTATACGCTACAGGGCGGGTGTTTCAGGACGAGTTATCTCGTCCTTGGCACTGAAAGAGGTCATAAAAGAAATTAAAAAAGACGACTGAGTTTTATTTTTTCTTCAAGCCTTTCCAGTTTATATCTTTCACTCAAGCCAGTGAACATTTACTATTGTTCTGATCAAGAGTGTATATCCTGCTGGTTTGTCTCCTCCTTTGCCTTCTTTGCCTCTTATTTGTATTCTTTTATCTGTTTTACTGCTGTGGTTGGCTTTCACCCTTGTCTCAGTTTTATTGGCCGTCATCATGATGTGCCATGAGATAATGATATAAATACAAAAAAAAAAAAAGAGTGCATAAACAATATGGACTCTTGTTCTGATCCATAGAACCAGGTACACAGTATGGTGCACTTTATGCTCATGCACATTCCCTGTCGCACTAACATAGTCACAGGCTGAAACAGCTCTCCACTTCTCTCCCTACCTTCTTTTGTCAGCAGTTAGTAGGGCGTTGGACAGCATACTGATGGAGTAGTACTAGTAGCGAGATTGCGATTCCAAGTGCCTACTCAATGAATGTGCCAACCTTATGCCATCCACCCACGAGCCTGTATACTAGTGCTAGTAGTGTAGTGGGAAATGTAAGC